TATCTATCTATCTATCTTTATATATCTTAATGCATTCATTTAGAAAATAACGTGTTAAAAACTGAAATTAATGATTTGTTATCGACACATTTGGATTGATTTTTTAATAGCACCTTTATATGTTTCTGTTTCATTCTGGGGCTTAAATGGAAATTATGTCAAACATATTTTGCAACTTAATCAAGAACTTAACTTATAAAACTGAGTTTGTGTGACTTAAACTGTTCAAATGATTGTAGATGTGTTCTGACTCTTATTAAATGTATGTTGTTTGGTGCAGACTGAGCCATGTACCCTGAAGTTATGACAACTTCCTGTTTCATGGCGAATTGTCAAAGTCTGACGCCACGCCACGGGTTCAACGTACAGTTACAAATAGCACAACTTTTAATCGCTAATGTCTTTAGAGTTCAATGACCAAATTTTGAGTAGATCCGAATTCCCTCTAAGAAGTTTGTTCAAATACAAGGCAAAAAATCGCAGAATATGACCACTTAATTCAAAATGTTGGGTTTGGGGTATGAGTCCAAGAGGCTTTTTTGCTCGTCTGAACATGAAACACATGCATACCAATTTTCATGCATGTCGCTTGTACGTGTCCTTGACAGTGTTACTGCTAATTGAAACCATGTGGCTCTGTGGCGCAATGGATAGCGCGTTGGACTTCTAGTTGAGCACAGAAGAAGTGATTCAAAGGTTGTGGGTTCGAGTCCCACCAGAGTCGAGCTTTATATGTCCAGATTAATGGAAAGATGTCAGTACAGCAGCGGTTCCGACCAATATTCAATTAGCTGTAATCTCAGACTCAAACTCTGTAATCTGAATCCTGTTTACATACCCCTTTTTTAGGTAGCAGGTAATAATGCTGATACTGTGAAGCACTTTGGGTATGAAATGTGCTATAGAAATAAATTAGCCTTGCCGAATACGGTCTAGTAGCCAACACACTGGCACAAATGGACTTGGTGTTTTTTTACACAAATAAATAAATTAATTAATGTATAATTTTGCTGAATTTGTAAGAAGTAATAACAATAAATAAATACAATTTGTCGCAGGCGGTGTTTCATAAAGTTTATAAAGTTTATAAGTTTATAAACAACTATTAAAGTTGAGTGATTTTCAAAGGGAGTCTGGTGATATAAAAGAGCCCAAATATGAACCAATCAGTGTTTCTGTGTGCGGAGGAACCGGACCGGGTTTGACGGCTCTGTTTAATTTAATGTCGCTGAGGTCTGTCCACAGTTTGTCAGGTTGCCATGGCAACGAGATAGCACTTCCACAACACAAACACACACACACACACACACACACACTTATTATGTTTAATTGATTGAAGTTGATTTTGTTTTTCATTCACTTTTTTAAGCTCTGACACTGAGACATACTCACATCAACATGAAGCTCACAGAGGATCACAGTCAGACGTTTATTAATGTACAAGGTGATTGTGTGCGTCTATAAGCTGTGACAGAGGTCGACTGAGGATCACAGCCCCGTAAATATATTTTACACACAGACGTAAATTATAGAGAGCTGAAATGAAAATATTTATAGCTATTTCCACAACGACATTATACCATGCTCGATACACGAGTGTGAACCCATGACATGTATCTAAATACAGCAGATACTGACTGAGTTGAAACAGCAGAGGTCACATAAAGCGTGACAAAGTCAGCACAAATTGACCAGATTAATAAAAAATATATTTTAACTTCTGTATCTGACATTTTCAAAGCAGTACAATAATCCACAATTCCCCAATTTAACAAATGTATTGAGTTTACACTGCAAACTACACAGGGACATGGAAGCCTACCCACTAATCTCAGGAGACCAATGTGTGGATACTGAGCTCAGATCAGTGTGACACTGACAGCAGCTTGATATAGCTCTCACTGACCTCCCTCTAGCTGTTGAGTCAGTGAGCTACAGGTGGTTTGTTTGTCTAGTTTGAGTTTAAGCAACGTTTAAAGTAACGACTCTGGTGGGACTCGAACCCACAACCTTTGAATTACTCCTTCTGCATACTAGAAGTCCAACGCGCTATCCATTGCGCCACAGAGCCTCGCTCACAAACAACTAGCTGCTTAATGTTAGCGGGAAACACCGATACAGCGACGCAGCGACAGGCTGACACAAAACTTTGTATATTTAATTTAAATTCAGAATTTACAAGAAGTCGAGGAATTATTAAGAAGTTGTCATAGACAGAGTTTCACAAAGTTTATAAAGCTTCCTCCCAAGCAACTCTTAAAATTGTGCATTTTTTAAAAGGGAGTCTGGTGATACTGAAGTTACTAGTTCATCAGTTGATATCTACAGGTTTCCCACAGAGGCAGTAACGGGAATTTCAACCTGCAACCTGCAGACCTGATCTGCATCTGGCCTGCATTACAGACCACCCCCGACCCCTTAACCTCTCTCAGCCCCTCCTCCCCTCCCCCAACCTGACCCACATCTCTCCGTCCACCGAGCAGCTGCAGAAACACTCGTTATGTACGACGGACTAATTGGGTCAATCTGTGTTACTTGTATCAAATGACTTTGTAGGAGCCGTTAATCCCTCCGGTGGACACATCACAACACACACACACACACTCACACACACACACAACAGCAACACACACACACACCACACACCCAACGCACACTCAGACACAAGTTAAGAGAAGAGACCACATTCTTGTTTCTACAGCCAAACACTTACATATTTCCTTCACTCTTTCTGCAGCCAGAAAGAGAGAGAGTTCATCTTTTATTTGGACCATCCTCTTCTTCCTCCCCTCTTTCTCCTCTTTCCTCCTCTCTTCTTCTCTTCCACTCTCTTTCATCCCTCTTCTTCTTCTCTGCTTGTTAAACAAAGACTTTAACCATCTGTGTTGAGGAAGCCCTCTTTGTATAGAAAAGAGAGTAAGGGCTGTACGGCGATGATGTTGCTAAGCTAACTGGAAGGTGTTTTTTTTTTTTTAATTTCCTCTCAAGGTTCTACTATCCTGTGACATCATCAGCATCCCATGCCTGAGGGGTCACGGCGCGGCAGCCCCGAGAGATCGCCTAGCAACACAGGTAAGAGGGGCGGGGCTTAGTTTGTGCTCACAGTGTCACCCCATATTTCTGTCT